AGTAGAGGTAAGAATAAAAGTAAATTAAATGAAATAAAATGAATGTAGAGAACTGTATAGAGATTTATTGAGTGCAGCAACTTTCCAGGATCCTATTTTAGATCTGATCTGAACATCCACTAGATATGGCTCACTATTTATGCATTACTAATTTAATTCCCCCTTAAAATAACGACTAAAACCACGATATCGTTACTTTTCTGCACCAAACAAACCTGTAGAACAAGATTGCGTTGGCCTTCTTTAGTCTCTCAACAAGGCTTCATCATTACGCTGTTTTCTGTCACATTTTACCTCACGACAAACAAGCTGCAGTGTCAGCTGGACTGCACACAACACGTCCACTCACCGTGACTGCATCAGTGTCGTGCCACAAGTGCCAGAGGATCCAGAACCACATGAACCCGCCGAGCAGCTCGGAATCAAACCTCTGCTTCGCCGTTATGTCTGGACACTCCCTGTATAGCAGCTTATTGGGGGGTCCACCGCCAGCCCTTAACACACACACACACAAACACAAACACACAATGTGAGTCAATGTTAGATAATGTGGACTATATAAAGTGCTAACGCAGGAGCTAACATGCTATCGGTCCTGACTGTACTTACTTTCTGCTCGTTATTCTTTGTGGACCGCGGCTCATGAGCAGGGTTCCGGCTCGAAGGACTCCCAACGCCCTTCCCAAAGAAGACATGGTCGCTCTCCCCGCAAAACCAGCTCTCTTTCGGGGTAAATGTTGAGTTTTTTTTCTGTAGGAACTATTTGCCCCTGCTCGCCGAGGAGTCACCTTCTCCGCTTGTCAATAAACGACCTCCGAGCAACGAGCGCTGTGATTGGACGGAGAATGTGACGTCCGTTCGTTCCTCTGCGCTAATTGGCTTAAGTCGTCGTCTTCTTCATTGTTTTTAATAGCGGTTGGCAAATCAGCTTGTAGGCGCATTACCGCCACCTGCGGGACTTGAGTGTAGCGCAGCAGGAAAATAAATAAATAAATAAATAAAACCTATTTATCTCGATTTTTCTTGTTATTTTTAAATTAAACGATACTTGATTTCTTTCCAAGTAGATGTAATATTATGTCCCTCATCAAATGCTGATATTAATCCCCTCCTTCCTCGGATCACATTTGCTGCAGTCTATGAAACACAACGCCCTCTTCTGTTCTGCTCTGCACAGTTTCCCTTTGACTTCAGCTGTATTTGCTGTTTAGTTTTCCCTGCAAATATTTTTTAAAGTAAACATTAAATTAAAATTGATAGTTACTGTATTTCGTTCGGTCATTTGGGGTCGTAAAGGTTGAACATGTGTAACTCTATATGCAAAGAGTGTGTGTGAGTTTTCTCCATTAGTTGGACCTTTTATTCGTGCTACACAATTATGGCATCATATGTGAATTTCATAAAGCAGAAAAAAATCAATAATCAATTTATATATAAATAAATAGACATAGCAATTTGTTTACATGGCTATATATCCATAAATCCGTCCAATTTTAGCTGTATTTTTGCTTTCTCCATAAAAAAACTAATCTAATTTGGTTGCCATTGTTTTATGTTAAGGAGTTGTGGCTGCAACCATATGATTATAACGTTAGATAATAGTTTTGGGGGCAGTTAAAAGTATTTATTTTACATTAAAACAATTAAAAATGCCGTTATAGGAATAAACAGTTAAGTACAGGGACACAATAAATCTAAAAAGCAATAAGACACATCAATTCGACATAGAAATAAATACGGATACATAAATAACTCAACATTTCAAACAAAAAACGACATTAAAAGGGGAAAAAAACATATAAACTCAGTTAAAAGTATTTATTTTAAATTAAAACAATAAAAAATGTCATTATATAAATACAGTTACGTACAGGGAAACAATAAATATAAAAAGCAATGAGACACATCAACTCGAGATAGAAATAAATAAATTTAGTACATAAATAACTCAACATGTCAAACAAAAAACTACATTAAAAGGGGAAAAAAACATATAAACCCAGTTAAAAGTATTTATTTTACATTAAAACAATAAAAAATGTCATTATATGAATAGACAGGTACACAATAAATCTAAAAAGCAATAAGACACATCAATTCGAGATAGAAATAAATACATTTA